TGTAACATTGGTTTATTTATTCTTGTGTTTTCAACAAATTTACATTTGTATCTTATTCTTATTTAAGAATTTGGCTTGCTTTTTTTCAGATTCATTGATGTTGATACTGGCTGTGTTTCATTTTTAGCTCAGTTATTTTTACTCATTTTTAGTCAATTCTTTTTTCACTCTTTTTTAAGTGTGCAGCTGTTGAAAGGATATTGTCTTCCCCCTCCATCCATGTGGTGGCGGTAGGGTACATAATCAGTGTCTTTTTGGTTTTACTGTGTGAGTGATTTTTGGTTTGTGCACCAGCATGTGTTGGCCCTATGAGGTTTAACTGTACTTTTGTTACTTATCACAAGCTTTTATAATTCCGTACATGTGTCTGGTCTCTGTTGATTTTTATTTGTATGATTTCCTATTGGTTCTAAGAATTTTGTATTAAGATGTGAATGAAATAAATTAACACATCATATGCAGCAACGCACAATTATCTTTATTTGCAACCTTATCTGGTCTGAATGAACTTTCTGCTCGGTTACACTTGCTTTCTTTGAATTAGAAGTATCGCAAAAATTAAAGTATTCTTTTCAAAATTTTAACAACATAAAAAGCCCTTCTTGGTCTTTGCTCCATTTTATAAGACCTTTTGACCTCATGTGTTTTTTACTCGTAATCTGAGATCCTCAGTAGTCATGCAGTCACAGGCCCGAGGTAATGGAATAGTTTACCTGAAGATCTCAGGTTAGCTGACTTGGTGCACTTTTAAATCCCTTTTGGGCAGTATCTTATATTCTTCATATTGTAAATGTGTGATGTTCATTATTGCTTTTATTTGTGCAGGACCTTGTAACCTTGTTAAGAAATGTTTTATATATAGATTATTCTTCTTATTATCTTTTTCATTCTCCATGTAACCTAGGTCACATATTACACAGATCATGGGACTGTTGTCCTGTAACAAACTTAATTTTACCAAGACATAGATTTTTGCATCAACCATAAACTCTAACATCAAGTTCTGTTGTCATTTTGTGGATATAAAATAGTTACCTATGTGTTGTGATACAACTGGTACAAAACTGGGTTTTAGTGGACATACAGGTCTTTGTGTTGCCATAAAAATAAAATCAACAAGGTTTCCAGCAACAACTGCATTATTTTTTCAAAGACAAGACTCTGGCTTCAGTCACCCAATTAGAATAACTGTGATCAGATCACAAAGAATATGTGCAGTCAAAACCAAACAAGAATAGAGGCATATGGTTGTCTGATAGAGACAAAATTACATGGAATTTTGTATTTGATCAACATAAAATAATTTTGCACCATATATAAATTCAGTGTATTGAAGACAACATATGAATAACTTCCCTCTCTTTCTACATTAAATTGACCTCATGGGAGCCAGGCTGCAGTATCTGAAGTGTAACAATGTGTTTAATAGCTTTTCTAAACCAGGGGTAGAAAAAAACATAGATCACTGGGTTTAGACAGGAGTTGAAATACACCAGCCAAAGCTCTATGGCTGAAGATGTTGCCCCTACCATGTTGCTCTCAGCTGCAACAGTAAAACAATAATATGGACTGTTGCACAGAAGAAACACAGCTATAACGACACCAAGAGTCCTGGCTGCTTTGATCTCAGATTTCTTAGCTTTTACAGTCTGTGAACGCTGAAGTGTGACAGCTGCAATGTGAGAGCGCATGGCACGAGCCTGAGACACAGCCACCACAAATACTCTCATATACAAAAGTGTGATGATTAATATGGGGCCTAAAAAGGTCACAACAAGATCAACAGCTCCTTCAATATAACTAACAGCTAGTACACACTCTCCATAACAGGAGTTATACCTATTTGGTTGTTTTAAGAAATCCCTCAGTATCCAACTGCTATGCACAACAGAAAATACCCAACACAGATAAACACAGTATTGAACTCTTCTCAGAGTGACTTTGGTGGAGTAAAACATGGGGTCACAAATAGCAATGTAGCGGTCAATTGATATGAGGACCATGCTTCCTACTGAAACACTGACAACTAGGAAAGCGAAAAAGTAATGCAAAGCACATATAACGTCACCCAGGATCACACAGCCTTGGATGTGGAGAAGTAGAACTGGCATCTGCAGGAGACCCATAAGAAAGTCTGCAACAGCCAGGGAGAGGAGGAGGAGGTTTGTGGCGGTGTGGAGCTGCCTGAAATGAGAGAATATCAACACCTAAGACATTGTTATATATAGAAGTTGTAGAAATAAGTGTTATTAGCAGTTATAATACTAGCAGTATGAATTGCTCTTTAACACAGTTAAATGCAGAACAATATGACAGATTAGTTCCACGCAGATAGCAATTCAGTAGAATATGACATGTTGCAAATGTAAAAAAAGAAAAGGATAAATTAAAAATTTTCATTAGTAACCTAAATGTGACATTATGTTGCATAGTAGGAACCAAAAAATCAAACATTTTGTAAGCCATGCAGAGAAATATTATCTCTGCCTGAAGTGGGAGATAGAGATGATGACCAGCAGATTCAGAACCACAGTGAGCACAGTGATGAAGGACAGCAGACTGTAAATCAGTGTGGCCTCCAAGTGAGAACGCATCGTCTTCCTGCAGGAGGTGTTGAGTTGGGGAAAGCAGAGTTCATCTTCCTCCAGGGCCTCCATATTCAGAGAGAGAGGAGAAGCTGCTGAGCTCTGACAGCTCTCTGAGTAAAGCTCTTTGTCATACAGCTGATTTATCTCTTTCCTTCCTCCCCTCCCACATGATTATGTCATACTCTGGCCGCATCTATCTATCTATCTATCTATCTATCTATCTATCTATCTATCTATCTATCTATCTATCTATCTATCTATCTATCTATCTATCTATCTATCTATCTATCTATGCTACACCTATTGTACTATAATCTAGTTGTGTCAACAAAACTGGTGTCGCTCAGCCTTAACAACAAGATCTGACTAAGTTTGCATTATCATTATCAGCCACATAGAACTGGCTGGCACCATTACAGAGCTTCAGTGTAGAAGGGGCAAATAGTCTTCCCTTTTTCCCAGAAAACTACACATTGCTTTGTGAAATTGTATGTACTCTGAACCTTTGCACTACAAGCCTTAGGCAGGACAGCTCCTTTGAAAAGATCATACTGCCTGTAGAGGGAGCACCACTGCCACCTCTTGTGCTTTGCCATGCATTTTGGCATTGCGAAGTAATCAGACCCCTAATTCAGAAGCCCTTGCATACTGGACTACAGCCTTTATGCCAAATTACCAAACAGACAGCTTGGGGAAGTTTACCAAATTCATTGATAAATTATAATCACAGTAGACAAAGAAACAGATAAGACCAGTGCACAGGCGGACTAGCCAACAGGGACCACTGGTTCAAATCCTGGTTGGCCGGTGGACCGAAGTTTTTAAAGTTTTACTGACTCCATTAGTATCTTTTACGGCTCCATTAGTGTCATTCATTCTCACATGAAACCAAGTGTCGTTGTTTCAGTTATTCATGACGAGTTGACAACCTTAACCGCTAACCTTAAAGGGAACCTATTATGCTTTCCTGAGTTTCCCCTCCCTTATAGCACGTTCTATAGCTTTTTGTGCATGTAAATGGTCTACAGAGTCACAAGGATCAAAGTTTACACCAAAGGGAGTAACTGTTTAGGCAAAATCCAATTTTCTCCTTTGCATGAAATGCCTTGTTGGGGGTCAAGACATTAGTCAATACGTCTCTTGGTGCTGCCCACCTGCAAGCTTGGCACGTCCCCACACAAGGCATAGCACATAACTACTCATAATAAAGACTTTAGTTTTGTAGTGATGCTGAAAAGACACCATGTTCTCAATTGCCTGGAGAAATCTGCTTCATTTTTCCACGGCTCCCTCCACTGCTCTAAACATTACACTCTGAGCCCAGTACTTCAAGGAGAACTGCTTCAGAAACCGCGCACAATTATATGCTTCATTTTTGCAATGGTTATTTCTGTAGTTAATTCTTAATGTGGCAAAACAGGGGACTCAGCCTTTCAGTCTGCATTGTCATTGTGGATCTTGATGTTTAACCTCATTACCACGACCTGATCACATTAGTAAGAAGCAGCGTAGCAAAGATATAAATGCTTTAATGTCTGTCAGTATTGACATGGTGTACCTCATTAGCTCAAATAAATTATCCACAGTTTAAACGCTCAGTTAATTTTTCAGTAACTTTGCACACTAAAGTTTAATTAATTCAGATTGCTTCAGAGAGGGGAGGGGGGCCTTTAAGAGCCCTGAGATCTAACAGAGCGTTTCAGACGGAGGGTGAATAGAGTACAGTATAACATGTACAGAAGAAGAAAAATAATATCTTTTCAGAACATTAAAGCATGTAAATCTATTTTGGTCGACACCGAGAATGAAATGATCAACACTAAAAATGGCCATAGTAGTACCTCTTTAAGAAATTACAAATTACTTATTTTAACTCAAACCATGATCTTTTCCTAAACCTAACAAAGTAGTTTTTTTGCCTGAATCTAACTAAGTCATGACTGTTCTGTATGCTTAACCATGTGTTTATTATTATTATTATTATTGTAACCATGACGACAAAGGGGTGTAGGGGCACTATTTCAGGAGATGCGTATGTGGATTGTATCAGAGGGTGGGAGGGTCGGGACCTTTAGGTGTGTGGTGCCGTTGATCTGAGAATCATGAGAATAAACTGTTTTACCAGCAATTGTATAATATAATTGGCTTTCTTACTGCAGTCATTCAAACAGGATCACTTTAGTCAGATCACACAAATAAGCAGTCACAAAGAAAGAAAGAATGAAAGTTTCAGGTTGTCTGGATGAGAAAAATCTACATGTAAATTAATTTTCGCTCAAAATATGGAAGTTTTAGCCATATTTTCATTAATTCTCCAGACGTTGAGCCATGTAGATTCAGTGTATTAAAGACAACATGAGAATAATTTCCCATTCACAGAAAAATAAATGGTTTTAATCAATCCATCACTTTCTACATTAAATTGGCCTCACTGGAGCCAGGCTGCAGTATCTGAAGTGTAATAATGTGTTTAATAGCTTTTCTGAACCAGGGGTAGAAAAAAACATAGATCACAGGGTTTAGAGAGGAGTTGAAATACACCAGCCAAATCTCAATGGATGCTGATGATGCCCCTACCAAGGTGCTCTCAGCTGCAACAGCAAAACAATAATATGGACAGGAGCACAGAATAAACACAGCTATAACGACACCAAGAGTCCTGGCTGCTTTCATTTCAGATCTCTTACTTTTTTCAGTCTCTGAACGCTGAAGTTTGACAGCTGCTATGTGAGAGCGCATGGCACGAGCCTGAGACACAGCCACTAAAAATACTCTCAGATACAGAAGTGTAATGATTAAAATGGGGCCTAAAAAGGTCACAACAAGATCAACAATTCCTTCAGCATCAGAATTTATGACTACACACTCTCCATGACAGAGTTTATACTTCTCTGGTTGTTTTAAGAAATCCCTCAGTATCCAAGTGCTGTGCACAGCAGAAAATATCCAACACAGACAAACACAGTATCGAACTCTTCTCAGAGTGACTTTGGTGTTGTAAAACATGGGGTCACAAATTGCCATGTAGCGGTCAATTGATATGAGGACCATGCTTCCTACTGAAACACTGACAACGAGGTAACCTAAAAAGTGATTCACAGCACATATAAAATCACCAAGGATCCAGCAGCCTCGGAAGAGGAGGATTTCAGCTGGCATCTGCAGGAGGCCCACAAGGAAGTCTGTGACTGCCAGAGAGAGGAGGAGGAGGTTGGTGGTGGTGTGGAGCTGCCTGAAATGAGAGAATATCAACAATGAAAACACTGTTACCTAAATAACCTAAAAGAGACATTATGTTTCATAGCTGCAACCAAAAAACAGACATTTTGTAAGCCATGCAGAGAAATATTATCTCTGCCTGAAGTGGGAGATAGAGATGATGACTAGCAGGTTCAGAAACACAGTGAGCAGAGTGATGAAGGACAGCAGACTGTAAATGAGCATGGCCTCAGAGTGAGAATGCATCGTCTTCCTGCAGGAGTTGTTGAGTTGGGAAAAGCAGAGTTCATCTTCTTCCAGGGCCTCCATATTCAGAGAGAGAGGAGAAGCTGCTGAGCTCTGACAGCTCTCTGAGTAAAGCTCTATGTCATACAGCTGATTTATCTCTTTCCTTCCTCCCCTCCCACATGATTATGTCATACTCTGGCCATATCTATCTATCTATCTATCTATCTATCTATCTATCTATCTATCTATCTATCTATCTATCTATCTATCTATCTATCTATCTATCTATCTATGCTACACCTATTGTACTATAATCTAGTATCCTTGCGTTGCCCGACCTTTTGTCACTCAGTTTTAAACAACAAGATCAAACTAGGTTTGTAATATCAAACAGTTCACAACTCCCAAACTGAGTTACCTGTAAACAATGTTTACTGTAGCAACATGATTAAAACAAAGGTCAAACAAAAATCACACAAAGCTGGCCTGCTGAGGACTGCTGAAACATTTTCCAACACTTTTCTGTCTGATTTTCATAAAGAACGCTTCCATTGATGAAGCCCACCACTGTTACAGAGGGGCAAATAATCTTCCCTTTTTCCCTGAATTGCAGCTTAGAGTCTTCTTAAGTTAGTTTCTGCAAGCTTTGCACACCTGGATTTAGGCAGTTTATTCTATTCTGTCTGGCAAATCCACTCAAGGACAGTTAGACACATGTCCCGAAGCCACTACCAAGGTTTTCTTGGGTGTATGCTTCGGGTCATGCTGAAAGGTGAAAAGTCACCCAAGTTTAAGATAGCGTGCATTGTAGAGTAGTTTTCTTCAAGGACCTCTCTGTGTTTGGTTGCATTCATCCTTCCCTTGATTCTTACAGTCTCCCTGTCCCTGCCACTGAGAACCACCCCATAGCATAATGCTGCCAGGTCAGCACCCAGCGCTCATTCCTTTTGTCAAGCCAGGAGACAACTGACAGAGGCCAGCAGCAGGAAATATCTTCTTACTGCTGGAAAGGCATGGGAAAGGTGGGTTGAGTTGGGCGAGCAGCTAATCTTCCTTCAAGAGATAATGCCAACAAGGAGGGAAGACAAGGAGCACATGAGTTCAAGCTGCTCAAGTATTCGAAACTGGCAGCAGAGTGCAAAGAAGCGGGCTGGACAGCATCTACCGAGTAGAAGTTGGATGCAGAGGTTTTGCGGGCAAATCTGCAATCCAACACCTCAACACTCCACCAGGAGATGTACTGGGCAGGGGGTGAAACATCAGTGAACGGTGGCTGTAGCTGACAACCCTGCAGCTGACCCAGTGTGCACTGGTGTAGGAGCGGCTAATTTTAATAAATTTGCAAAAAGATTTTTTTTAAATGAAATTCATTTAAAATTGTATCTACAACACAAAGAAATGTTCAAAAAGTGAAGGGGTCTGAGTATTTTTATGTCAGCAGTGTGAACAGGAGTGGGCTGAGTTCACAGCTCTGAGAGGTGCCAGTACTCAGAGCGGTAGTATTAGAGGTGTGGGTGCCAATTTGGTCTGACTGTGGCATACGAGTGAGGATGTTACAGGCAGTTCAGTGCGAGCCTCTCCTTTAGAATTGACACCCTGCACTGCATTGTCATTGAGAAACCCTCCATCAACCATGTCAGTGATGACGCAAAAAGGTAAAGATCAATTTATTGCTTATTATAATGTAAACCATTGAGTGTCTGTGACATGATGAATATTTAATGAATGAACAAGGGAGTGGTTGCGGACACAATCAATGAGTACACTGTTTTAGTCATGCTCCATCATCAGTGGCTCATTCATATACTAGCTGATGACCAGTCAGAAAACTTTTAACATCCAGTCACATTTTCTAAATACTATGTACAACTGTTTATTATGCTGAGGGTTTAGTGGAAGGAAGACAGAATCAATAGGTGGTGATTAATGACCAATAACATTAGATCGTTTTCATTCACCTTGAAACCCAGGGGACATCAGACAGATTGTGGGGCTGTTGCAAACATAACATGTTGTAAGATATTTATTTTGTATCAATTAACTTTGACATCAAATCCTGTTCTCCTTCTTTATATTCATGTAAAGATATTTTGGTACAGCTGGTGTAACTGGTTAAAATGTGGCTCCAAAAGTATCCCCATATTTTAGGATTGAAATAGGTAACAAGGATTTTATTGATACAGCCTCTCATATTCATAATTCTTATGGGTCCTGAAATGTATCAATACTTTTGTTGATTTGATTTGATTAATACACGAAAAAACAAAACAATTCACAACAAAATTTATATTAATTTATTCAAAAGAACAAAGCACTTTCTCAATCAGCTAAAGCAAGTCATGATGCAAGTGCACCTGTTACCATGAAAATAAAATTTCAAAAAGTTTTATACATTCATTTGTACAGTCATCTTGTCCATGGTTTTAGTTATTTTCCAGACTTTGGGATGTGTAGATTCAGTGTATTAGACAGTATTAATCAATGTATCAGTCAATCCATCACAGTCTCTTTCTACATTAAATTGGCCTCACTGGAGCCAGGCTGCAGAATCTGAAGTGTAACAATGTGTTTAATAGATTTTCTGAACCAGGGGTAGAAAAAAACATAGATCACAGGGTTTAGACAGGAGTTGAAATACAACAACCAAATGTCAATGGCTGAAGAAGTTGCCCCGACCAAATCGCTCACAGCTGCAACAGCAAAAAAATAATATGGACAGGAGCACAGAATAAAGACAACTACTACGACACCGAGAGTCCTGGCTGCTTTCATTTCAGATTTCTTAGCTTTCACAGTCTCTGAACGCTGAAGTGTGACAGCTGCAACGTGAGAGCGCATCGCACGAGCCTGAGACACAGCCACCAGAAATACTCTCATATACAGAAGTATAATGATTAAAATGGGGCCTAAAAAGGTCACAAGAAGATCAACAATTTCTTCAGCATAATTACTTATGAATAAACATTCTCCATAACAGGAGTCATCCCTGTTTGATTGCTTAAAGTAATCCCTGAGTATCCAAGTGCTGTGCACAGCAGAAAATATCCAACACAGACAAACACAGTATTGAACTCTTCTCAGAGTGACTTTGGTGTTGTAGAACATGGGGTCACAAATTGCCATATAGCGGTCAATTGATATGAGCACCATGTTTCCTACTGAAACACTGACAATGAGGTAACCTAAAAAGTAATTCACAACACATATAAAATCACCAAAGATCCAGCAGCCTTGGAAGAGGAGGATGTCAGATGGCATCTGCAGGAAGCCCACAAGGAAGTCTGCGACAGCCAGAGAGAGGAGGAGGAGGTTTGTGGAAGTGTGGAGCTGCCTGAAATGAGAGAATATCAACACAAACACACTGTTAGATATAGCAGTTGTATAAAAACTGAAGTTAACTGTTACAATTCTAAATGTATGAACTGTATTGTAACAACACGAATAAATAAATAACATCATTACATCTGTAAAAGCATTCTCAAATAAAGCCTAAACAGGAAAAATATAATTTCAATGTATTATTGATATCATATCATCATCATGCAGTAGCCTGATATGTGACAAATCATTACTAATCATTTTTAGTCTCACTTTTGCTGGCTATATCAAAAGCACCACAATCACAGTTATGATTCCTTAGCCTCAAAGCCATTTCTTCATGTATCTAACTGTAAACTGTAAATCAAAAATGTTTTCATTAGTAACCTAAATGAGACATTATGTTGCATAGATGGAACCAAAATATAAACATTTTGTAAGCCATGCAGAGAAGTTGGTATCTCTGCCTGAAGTGGGAGATAGAGATGATGACCAGCAGGTTCAGAACCACAATGACCACAGTGATGCAGCACAGCAGGCTGAGAAAGAGCGTGGCCACCCAGTGAGAGTTCATTGTCTTCCTGCAGGAGGTGTTGAGCTGGGAAAAGCAGAGTTCATCTTCTTCCAGGGCCTCCATATTCAGAGAGAGAGGAGGAGCTGCTGAGCTCTGACAGCTCTCTGAGTAAAGCTCTATGTCATACAGCTGATTTATCTCTTTCCTTCCTCCCCTCCCACATTCAAATTTGATTTTGATTTTAATTCTATTCAGACGGCTGACTATGTCATACTTTGGCTGTATCTAACTACCTGTAGACAAAGTTAACTGTAACTACACGATCAAAACAAAGTTCAAATAAAAAGATTTGAAACAAACATGGAGGTGGTCTACTCAGGACCTCTAAAACATTTTCCAACATCCTCTTGTCTGATTTTCATAGTGAAAACTTTCATGAATAAAGCCCACCACACAGCTAGTGGCTGGTGCCAACATAGTGTTTCAGTGTTGCAGTGGCAAAAGCAAGATTTCTTTTCTGATGGTTTAATATTTTATCTTGTGCTTTTGAAACTTTTGGGGAGAAGCAGCTGATGTTCCACTCCATCCACATCTTAATGTAGGATTACACCTGCTGCGCCTGTAGCACTGGTGTCAACATCATTTCCTGCCCAGCACAGACTGAAATAATATTGTGCTCGAGTGCCTGATGCCACTACTCCCTGTACTGCTAAAGATGCTGGAGTTGCCTCTCCTCCAGAGCCTGTTGCCACTCACTACCCTGGTGTTAATGCCTCTTCCTTGGGCAAAGACTAAAACCCTGGTCAGCTCCACACCATACCATCATGAAAACTGTTATCTAGTCATTGCTCATGGCAGGAGAGGGAGGTGGGCCTCCTGTACACCTATTCATTTTAACATTCAGTTGGAGAACAAGTAGGACATCCTTGACCTTCAGGACTTCCCCCTCTGGCTGCAGAATCCCAGTTCCCTCCATCTCCCTGGCCATGGCATAGATCCCACATCAGCTCACGGTTCCGCTTGACTCTTCCACCAGTTGTAACTGGATGCTCCTCCTGCAGCTTGTCACTACACAATGTTCTTTCCAGGAGCGCTGCCAGGATCTCCAGCCACAGACCACAGCACAGAGACAGCACTCCTTACAGCAGTGAATGGTCTGCTGGTTGCTTAGAACTGTTAAGTTGTTTTAGGTCCAAGTGCTGCGTTAGTTAGCTAAACTGTAACTTAAGGTTAAAGTTAGAAACTACCTCATATTAGTTAGCTAAACTGTAACTTAAGGTTAAAGTTAGAAACTAGCTAATATTAGCTAGCTACATTGTAACTTAAGGTTAAACTCAGAAACTAGCTCATATCAGTTAGCTAAACTTTAACTTAAGACCAAAGTTACAAACTAATTAACATTAGTTGGTTAAACTGTAACTTAAAACTAAAGTTAGAAACTAGCTAACATTAGTTAGCTAAACTGTAACTTAAGGCTAAAGTTAGAAGCTAGCTAACATAAGTTAGCTAAACTGTAACTACTTATAATAAAGACTATTCTTTAGTCTTGTAGTGATGCTGAAAAGACACCATGTTCTCAATTGCCTGGAGAAATCCGCTTCATTTTTCCACGGCTCCCTCCACTGCTCTAAACATTACACTCTGAGCCCAGTACTTCAAGGAGAACTGCTTCAGAAACCGCGCACAATTATATGCTTCATTTTTGCAATGGTTATTTCTGTAGTTAATTCTTAATGTGGCAAAACAGGGGACTCAGCCTTTCAGTCTGCATTGTCATTGTGGATCTTGATGTTTAACCTCATTACCACGACCTGATCACATTAGTAAGAGACAGCGTAGCAAAGATATAAATGCTTTAATGTCTGTCAGTATTGACATGGTGTACCTCATTAGCTCAAATAAATTATCCACAGTTTAAACGCTCAGTTAATTTTTCAGTAACTTTGCACACTAAAGTTTAATTAATTCAGATTGCTTCAGAGAGGGGAGGGGGGCCTTTAAGAGCCCTGAGATCTAACAGAGCGTTTCAGACGGAGGGTGAATAGAGTACAGTATAACATGTACAGAAGAAGAAAAATAATATCTTTTCAGAACATTAAAGCATGTAAATCTATTTTAGTCAACACCAAGAATGAAATGATGAACACTAAAAATGGCCATAGTAGTACCTCTTTAAGAAATTACTTATTTTAACCATGATCTTTTCCTAAACCTAACAAAGTAGTTTTTTTTGCCTGAATCTAACTAACTCATGACTGTTCTGTATGCTTAACCATGTGTTTATTATTGTAACCATGACGACAAAGGGGTGTAGGGGCACTATTTCAGGAGATGCGTATGTGGATTGTATCAGAGGGTGGGAGGGTCGGGACCTTTAGGTGTGTGGTGCCGTTGATCTGAGAATCATGAGAATAAACTGTTTTACCAGCAATTGTATAATATAATTGGCTTTCTTACTGCAGTCATTCAAACAGGATCACTTTAGTCAGATCACACAAATAAGCAGTCACAAAGAAAGAAAGAATGAAAGTTTCAGGTTGTCTGGATGAGAAAAATCTACATGTAAATTAATTTTCGCTCAAAATATGGAAGTTTTAGCCATATTTTCATTAATTCTCCAGACGTTGAGCCATGTAGATTCAGTGTATTAAAGACAACATGAGAATAATTTCCCATTCACAGAAAAATAAATGGTTTTAATCAATCCATCACTTTCTACATTAAATTGGCCTCACTGGAGCCAGGCTGCAGTATCTGAAGTGTAATAATGTGTTTAATAGCTTTTCTGAACCAGGGGTAGAAAAAAACATAGATCACAGGGTTTAGAGAGGAGTTGAAATACAATAGCCAACTCTCAATGGCTAAAGATGACACTCCAACAAAGTTGTTCACAGCTGCAATAGCAAAACAATAATATGGACAGGAGCACAGAATAAACACAGCTATAACGACACCAAGAGTCCTGGCTGCTTTCATTTCAGATCTCTTACTTTTTTCAGTCTCTGAACGCTGAAGTTTGACAGCTGCTATGTGAGAGCGCATGGCACGAGCCTGAGACACAGCCACTAAAAATACTCTCAGATACAGAAGTGTAATGATTAAAATGGGGCCTAAAAAGGTCACAACAAGATCAACAATTCCTTCAGCATCAGAATTTATGACTACACACTCTCCATGACAGAGTTTATACTTCTCTGGTTGTTTTAAGAAATCCCTCAGTATCCAAGTGCTGTGCACAGCAGAAAATATCCAACACAGACAAACACATAGTTGAACTCTTCTCAGAGTGACTTTGGTGGAGTAAAACATGGGGTCACAAATTGCCATATAGCGGTCAATTGATATGAGCACCATGTTTCCTACTGAAACACTGAGAATAAGGTAAGCTATAAAATAAATCACAGCACATATAAAATCACCAAGGATCCAGCAGCCTCGGAAGAGGAGGATTTCAGCTGGCATCTGCAGGAGACCAACAAGGAAGTCTGTGACTGCCAGAGAGAGGAGGAGGAGGTTGGTGGTGGTGTGGAGCTGCCTGAAATGAGAGAATATCAACAATGAAAACACTGTTACCTAAATAACCTAAAAGAGACATTATGTTTCATAGCTGCAACCAAAAAACAGACATTTTGTAAGCCATGCAGAGAAATATTATCTCTGCCTGAAGTGGGAGATAGAGATGATGACTAGCAGGTTCAGAAACACAGTGAGCAGAGTGATGAAGGACAGCAGACTGTAAATGAGCATGGCCTCAGAGTGAGAATGCATCGTCTTCCTGCAGGAGTTGTTGAGTTGGGAAAAGCAGAGTTCAGCTTCTTCCAGGGCCTCCATATTCAGAGAGAGAGGAGAAGCTGCTGAGCTCTGACAGCTCTCTGAGTAAAGCTCTATGTCAAACAGCTGATTTATCTCTTTCCTTCCTCCCCTCCCACATGAGTATGTCATACTCTGGCCATATCTATCTATCTATCTATCTATCTATCTATATCTATCTATCTATCTATCTATCTATGCTAAACCTATTGTGCTATAGTCTAGTATCCTTGTGTTGCCCGACCTTTTGTCACTCAGTCTTAAACAACAAGATCAAACTAGGTTTGTAATATCAAACAGTTCACAACTCCCAAACTGAGTTACCTGTAAACAATGTTTACTGTAGCAACATGATAAAAACAAAGGTCAAATAAAAAGACACAACAACTGCTTTTCGTAACGAACACTTCCATCGATGAAGCCCACCACTGTTACAGAGCTTCAGTTTCGTAGGGGCAAATAATCTTCCCTTTTTCCCAGAATTGCAGCTTAGAGTCTTCTTAAGTTAGTTTCTGCAAGCTTTGCACACCTGGATTTAGGCAGTTTATTCTATTCTGTCTGGCAAATCCACTCAAGGACAGTTAGACACATGTCCCGAAGCCACTACCAAGGTTTTCTTGGGTGTATGCTTCGGGTCATGCTGAAAGGTGAAAAGTCACCCAAGTTTAAGATAGCGTGCATTGTAGAGTAGTTTTCTTCAAGGACCTCTCTGTGTTTGGTTGCATTCATCCTTCCCTTGATTCTTACAGTCTCCCTGTCCCTGCCACTGAGAACCACCCCATAGCATAATGCTGCCAGGTCAGCACCCAGCGCTCATTCCTTTTGTCAAGCCAGGAGACAACTGACAGAGGCCAGCAGCAGGAAATATCTTCTTACTGCTGGAAAGGCATGGGAAAGGTGGGTTGAGTTGGGCGAGCAGCTAATCTTCCTTCAAGAGATAATGCCAACAAGGAGGGAAGACAAGGAGCACATGAGTTCAAGCTGCTCAAGTATTCGAAACTGGCAGCAGAGTGCAAAGAAGCGGGCTGGACAGCATCTACCGAGTAGAAGTTGGATGCAGAGGTTTTGCGGGCAAATCTGCAATCCAACACCTCAACACTCCACCAGGAGATGTACTGGGCAGGGGGTGAAACATCAGTGAACGGTGGCTGTAGCTGACAACCCTGCAGCTGACCCAGTGTGCACTGGTGTAGGAGCGGCTAATTTTAATAAATTTGCAAAAAGATTTTTTTTAAATGAAATTCATTTAAAATTGTATCTACAACACAAAGAAATGTTCAAAAAGTGAAGGGGTCTGAGTATTTTTATGTCAG